GGGCCTTGGGCCAGCTGCAAGTTTGTTAGGTAATTTTCAGATTGCAAAGGGCCAGGCCTTTCATATGCAAAAGCTGGCACACAGCTTGGGCGGGGCGGAGGTCCCAGGGGATCAACAGGGTGGAGCAAGTAGCTATGGCTGCTGTCAGAGGCCCCGCTTCTCAGTGTCCCAGCAATTGCTGCAAGCAACTCCAAGAAAAAGCTGCCCTCGAGTTCTGTCCGATGCCAGACTGTCCAGTTTCTCCCGTATGAGTCTGGGTCCCCAGAGACTCACTCGGAACTGGAGCTCAGAGCTTGAGACTCCCTACCAACTGAAAAAGGCAACTGTGTCCTCAGCCACCAGCCCTCGCCATGTACTTTACTTCTGCACTGCAGCTCCTCTGAGTCTCGGTATGCTTTTCTCTTTCCTTCTAGTTGTAGAATTTCCACTCAGTCAGCCTTCCTGTGGTTCTGGATGATGTCCATTCCGTCTTTTAGTTGTATTCTTGAAGTGGCTGTGCTAAGCAGCAATCTCCAGTGTTTACCTATGCTGCCATCTTGGTATTTCCAATAAAATAGAATGTTATAGCTATAAAATGTTTTATGTAAGTCTCATGGTAACCACAAAGCAAAACTAAAGTAGAAACACGAAAGAGGGAATGGAATCATAAAATCATCCATTCACAAAAGAAGGCAACGAGAGAAAGAAATAAACAAGGGAATTATAAAACAGCCAGAAAACAATGAATATGATGGAATGACTAAGACCTTATCCATCAATAACTACTCTAAATGTAAATGGATTGAAGTCTCCAGTCAAAAGACATAAAGTGGCTCAATGGATATAAAGAAAACAAGATCCAAGTATATGCTCTCTACAAGAGACTCACTTTAGCTTAAAGGATACACATAGACTCAATGTTGATGGTAAAAGGTATTCCATGCATGTGGAAAATAAAGAGCAGTGGTAGCTACATTTATATCAGACAACATAGACTTTAAGACAGAAACTGTAACATGACAAAGAAGGATATTATAAAATGATAAAGTGGTCAATTCATTAAGAAGATATAAGAATCATAGATATATATGCACCCAACATTGGAGCACCTAAATAAAAAGCAAATACTAATAGATACGAAGAGAGAGCTAGACAATAATACAATCATAGGAGACTTCAATTATACTTTTGACCATGAATAGATCATAAGACAGAAAATCAAATAAGGAAACATTGGATTTGAACTATACTTTAGACCACATGGACCTTATAAATATTTAAAGAATATTCTACCCAAAAGCACCAGAATACATATTCTTCCAAGCACATACAGAGCATTCTCCAGGATGGAACACTTGCTGTGTCATAAAACAAGTCTTAGCAAATTGAAGAAGACTAAAATTATACCAAGTATCTTTTCTGACCACAGTAGAATGAAACTAAAAGCTAATACAAGAAGACAGATAGAAAATTCACAAATATGTGGAAATTAAATAATACACTCCAACAGCTAATGGGTCAAAGAACACATAAGATAAAATATATCTTGAAACAAATTAAAATGGAAAAACAATGTACTAAAACTTAAAAGATGCAGTAAAAGCAGTACTAAGAGGGAAATTTATAGCGATAAATGCCTACATGAAGAAAAAAAAAGATCTCAAATAAACAACATTTTATACATCAAGGAACCAGAAAAAAAGAACTAAGTTTAAATTAGATTCTAGAAGAAGGAAGGAAATAACTAAGATCAGAACAGAAATAAATAAATAAAACACAGATCATGGAAAAAATTAGATAAGATGAAATTAAGGACTTTTAAAAAAAAGATAAACAATATTGACAAACTTTTAGCTAGGTTAAGAATAGAAGAGTCAAATGAATGAAAACAGAAATTAATGGAGACATTATAATTGATACCAGAGAAATAAAAAGGCTCATAAGAGACTACTATAAACATTTATATGCCAACAAACTGTATAATTTAGAGAAAATGAATAAATTCCTATAAACATTCAACCTATCAAGACTGAATCATGGGGAAAAAGAAAATTTGAACACACTAATAACAAGAAGATTGAACCACTAATCAAAAATCTCTCAAAAGAGAAAAACTCAGGACCAGATGTTTCCCTGCTGAATTCCACTAAATAGCAAAAGAATGCATGCCAATCTTTTCCAAACCCTTCAAAAATGAAGTAAAAGGAACACTCCCAGGCTCGTTTTGAAGCCAGCCATACCCTTACATAAGAAAAAAAATAAGAACACCACAAGAAGAGAAAACTACAGACCAATATCCATAAAAAATTTAGATGCAAATTTTTAACAAAAGATTAGTAGACCAAATCAACAGCACATTAAAAAAATCATAAACCATGATCATTTGGATTTATTCCTGGGATGCAAGGATGGTTCAACATATGCAAATAAATAAATGTGAAACACATATTATGAGAATAAAGGCTAAAATCATATGGTCATCTCAATAGATGGAGCAAAAGCATGTGAAAAAAACATTATTTAATATTAAAAACTCTCAACAAATTAAGGGCAGAACTGACAACTTTACATAATAATTGAAATATATTACAAGCCCACAACTAAAATTATATTTAATGTTGAAAGACTGAAAGCTTTTACTCTAAGATCAAGAATAAGACAACATAGTCCTGGAAGTCTTAAACAGAACAATCAGGCAAGAAGAAATAAAAGGCATCCAAATAAAAAAGGAAGAAGGAATTAGCTACTAAAGAAAGTATATGTGTACCATGAATATGGACAATAGTTTGGTGAAGGCCAAGGGAGAGTAGAGGTGGGGAAATAACAGAGGAAAGCAGGACACCTGCAATTATGTCAACATTAAAAATTTATTTTCCGTGTTCAACTTTTTTTTCTTTATTGATTAAGGTATTACATATGTGTCCTTATCCCCCCATTATCCCCTACCCTCACTCATGCCCTCACCCCGCTGGTGTCTGTGTCCATTGATTAGGCTTATATGCATGCATACAAGTCCTTTGATTGATCTCTCCCCCTTACACCCACCCTCTCTTACCTTCCCTCTGAGGTTTGATGGTCTGATTGATGCTTCTCTGTTTCTGGGACTGTTTTTGTTCATCAGTTTATGTTGTTCATTATATTCAAAAAATAAGTGAGATCATGTGATATTACCTTTCTCTGACTGACTTATTTCGCTTAGCACAATGCTCTCCAGTTCCATCCATGCTGTTGCAAATGGTAGGAGTTCCTTCCTTTTTACAGCAGCATAGAATTCCATTGTGTAGATCTACCACAGTTTTGTTTTTAAATATATTTTATTGATTTTTTACTGATAGTAAGGGAGAGGGATAGTTAGAAACATCAATGGCAGAGAAACATC